GAGGGCATTGCGTTCATCCACCTCTGGCCTGCTGGCTCCCCTACCTCTGCGGAAGCACAGTTCCCGCTCAGCCCTGTCAAAACTGTTCGCTGCTCTGGCACCCCAATGGTGGAACAAGCTCCCTCACGACGCCAGGACAGCGGAGTCACTCACCACCTTCCGGAGACATTTGAAACCCCACCTCTTTAAGGAATAACTGGGATAGGATAAAGTAATCCTTCTACCCCCCCCGTACCCCACCCCACCCCCCCCCCCCCCCCCCCCCACCCAAAAAAAAAAAAATGTAAAGTGGTTATCCCACTGGCTATAAGGTGAATGCACCAATTTGTAAGTCGCTCTGGATAAGAGCGTCTGCTAAATAACGTAAATGTAAATGTAAAATGTAAATATAGACAGGTGTGTGCCTTTCCAAATCATGTCCGATCAATTGCATTTACCACAGGTAGATTCCAATCAAGTTGTAGAAACATCTCAAGGATGATCAATGGAAACAGGATGCACCTGAGCTCAATTTCGAGTCTCATAGCAAAGGGTCTGAATACTTATCTAAATAAGGTATTTCTGTTTTTAATTTTTAATACATTTGCAAAAATGTTAAACATGTTTTCGCTTTGTCATTATGGTGTGTTTTGTTTAGATTGATGAGGGGAAAAAATTATTTAATCAATTTTAGAATAAGGCTGCAACGTAACAAAATGTGGAAAAGGGGAAAGGGTCTGAATACTTTCCGAATGCACTGTAACTTAACAAAAAGAAAAAAACTGTACTATGGAACAAAGATAAATGATATAATGATATGTGGTCCTCTGTAGCTCAGCTGGTAGATATGTGGTCCTCTGTAGCTCAGCTGGTAGAGCACGGCGCTTGTAACGCCAAGGTAGTGGGTTCGATCCCCGGGACCACCCATATGTAAAAATGTATGCACGCATGACTGTAAGTCGCTTTGGATAAAAGCGTCTGCTAAATGGCATATTTATTTTATTTTATTTTTATATAAAGGATGATAGTAAAAAGCTTTTGAGTACCTTAAATAAAACTTTAGCCAAAAATGCGAACTCGGCTCCGTCCTCCATTGAGGCAGATGGCTTGTTCATAACAAAACCCTTTGATATTGCCAACCACTTTACTAATCTTGTCAACAAAAAAAGTTATTAAACTTAAGCATGACATGTAAACAACAAATGCTGAGCCTTCATATTCATGCATAACTGACTAAATAATGAAATACAAGCACAGTAGTTGAGTTCTTAAAAGTTGGTGTGGAAGCGGTGAAGACATTATTGTTAGCTATAAATAAGGACAAGCCACCTAGTACCGACAACCTGGATGGTAAATTGCTGAAGTTGGTAGCGGAATACATTGTGACTACTTTTTGCCACATCTTCAATTTAAGCCTAGAAGACTGTGTGTGCCCTCAGGCCTGGGGGAAGGCAAAGGAAAATTGTTATTTTACAGAAAACAAATTTAACAAAAGACTTTCAGCATGCTTATAGGGAAGGGCACTCAACATGCTCAGCACTGACACAAATCACTGATGATTGGCTGAAAGATATTGATAATATAGAAGTGTGCGGGAACTGTTTTGTTAGATTTCTGTGCAGCTTTTGATATCATCGATCATAACCTTTTTCTGAAAAAACGTAGGTGTTATGGATTGAGAGTTAACTATCTAATAGAACACAGAGGGTTTTCTTTAATGGAAGCTTCTCTACTGCATATTCGGTTGAGTGGGGTGGACCGCATGGCAGCCGGCTTGGGCCATTATTGTTTTCTGTTTTTACTAATGACCTTTCACTGACCTTGAATAAAGCATGTGTGTCTATGTATGCTGACGACTCAACCGTATACACGTCAGCTACGACACAAAAATAAATAACTGACACCGTTAACATAGAGCTCCAGTCTGTTTTAGAATGGGTAACTAGCCATAGGCTGGTGCTAAATATCTCAAATCATTCACTCAACCCTAAACCTCATCTAGATCTATTACTGAATAACGTGGCGATTGAGCAGGTTGAGGAGACTAAACTGCTGGGTGTAACCCTAGATAGCAAGCTGTCATGGTCAAAACATATAGACTCAATGGTTGCTAAAATGGGAAGAGGTCTGTCCATGATAAGGCGTTGCTCTGCTTTCGTAACATCTAAATCAACCATGCAGGTCCTACAGGCCCTAGTTTTGTCGCAGCTTGACTACTGTCCAGTTGTGTAGTCATGTGCTGCAAAGAAGGACATAGGAAAATTGCAGTTGGTCCAGAACAGAGCATCACGTATTGCACTTAGATGTACACGGAGGGCGAATATCAGTTGTACGCATGTCAATCTCTCCTGGCTCAAAGTTGAGGAAAGATTGACTGCATTACTATTGGTCTTTGTGCAAGTTGTTGATAGGTTAAAGGTACCGAACTGTCTGTTCAAGCAGTTGGCACACAGTCCGGACACTCATCGGTACTGCACAAGTCATGCAGCCAGAGGTCTATTCACAGTCCCCAGGTCCAGAACAGAGGCTGGGAAACGCACAGTATTAAATAGAGCCATGACTACATGGAACTCTCTGCCACCCCAGGTAACTCAAGCTAGCGATAAAACCAGATTCAAAAACTAGATAAAAGAACAGGGTCTGTGAAGAGAGACCTTTTTATATATTTTGTATTGTGTTATGTATTTTATTTATTTTATTTGTTGTGTTTTGTATCCTGTTTGGACCCCAGGAAGAGTATTGGGTTTTCTAATAAAATACTAAGCAAGAGGGGACAACAGACAGGTATAGGGAGAGATTGAATATGTTCGTAAACACTCCAGCCAGCCTGCTGGTCTGCACAAGCTCTGAGGATGCGGCTTGGGATGCCATCTGGGCCGGCAGCCTTACGAGGATTAACATGCTTAAATGTCTTACTCACAATGGCCATGGAGTATGAGAGCTCACAGTCCTCATGAGCGGCAGTGGCCTGCGTTGGGGGCACTGTTTTCCTCGAAGCAGGCGTAGAAGGTGTTTAGCTTGTCCGGGAGCAAGAGGACAATGTCTTCGACGTGGCTGGCTTTCCCTTTATAATTTGTGATTGTCTGGAGTCCCTGCCACATACTTTTCATGTCTGAGTTGTTGAATTGCGACTTCACTTTATCCCTGTACTGTCGTTTTGCCTGTTTGATTGCCTTACGGAGGGCATATCTGGTCTGTTTGTACACGTCCAAGTTCCCAGTCACCTTGCTGTGGTTAAATGTGGTGGTTCGCGCTTTCAGTTTTGCGTGAATGCTGCCATCTATGCACAGTTTTTGGTAAGTTATAATCGTCACAGTGGGAACAACGTCCTCTATGCACTTGCTGATGAACTCAGTCACCAAGTCAGTGTATACGTCAATACTATTCCCAGAGGCAAACCGGAACATATCCCAGTCCGCGTGATCAAAACAATCTTGAAGCATAGATTCCGATTGGTCAGACCAACTTTGTCCTTACCACAGGTACCTGCTGTTTTAAGTTTCTGCTCATAGGAGGGGAGGTGGAAAATTGAGGTATGATCTGATTTGCCTTGTTGCCATCCCGGAAGGGGGTGTAGCAGTGGATCAAGAGTGCTTGATGAGCGTGTTGCACAGGGGATGTTGATACAATTTTGGTAGCGTTTTCCTCAGATTTCTCAGGGGGGGGTAAATGAGTTCGGTATTTTATAGTGAGGTATTCCAGATCAAGAGAACAAAATGACTTGAGTTCCTGCACATTACCACAATCACACCATTAGTAGTTTATCATGAAACATACACCTCCACCTTTCTTTTTTAAGTGATAGTTTGACTTTCAAATCTATGTATTGGTGTGTGGCCAGCAACTTCAATAGAGAGACTGCCCCAAATTATTTGTTCCATTTGAGAAAGAAAATTATAGCTGCGTTCTAAGTCTTGCGACCCCCAGCGCGTGACAAAATCAACAGTACAAAACCAAAGTAATTGATCTTGTGTCATCGTGTTGACTATAAACTTTTATACTAACATCACCAATCTTAGGTAAAAAGGATGTGTAATTCCCACCAATTCTATGTGTTAAAAACATCAGCTTGTGTAATGTAGTAACACATACTGTCCACATAATGGAAAGTAGCGTAATATACATGAAATCGTTTATTTTTATTTTTTATCACATATAATGTTTTGTTATTACGGTTTTTCAGGGGGGGGGGGGTGCAGCACCTTCAGCACCCCTACTTCCCGCTATGTTTTTGTTCACATCGCACAGATCAACTGCACAAATCAACCACCGATCAGCCTCGTTAAAATACTCCAGACCACAAGGAGGCAGTAGCTTGTTTGGCTTGCACCTGCTGTAGAAAGCTAATGTGAGCTAACTAGCAAGCTGCGCTAATGTTGTTGCTAGCTAGCAATAATTTGTATAAAGCCCTTGTTGATACTAGCCAGATGGCCACAAGTAGATAACTAGCCTAGCTAGCAACATTCTAATTATATCACATTGGATTCGTTTTTGAATGAAGCAGCTGTCTATTAGCTACCGAGAGTCAGTGGAGTAGCTAGCTAGCTATGTTGTGCTAACTGGCAAATGGCGATGCTAACATTAGCTAGCAAGCGAACTAGCACTGGGAGTATGGGATAATAGAGAGTGAATTCAATTATTTCTTCATCTTGCTAGATAGTTATGGAGGACTAAAAGTGCCACAATTAAATAAATAAATACACCATTAAATAATTACTTAAATGTGTCATTAATTAATTCAAATTAGAATTAAATACATAAATGTGTAATTAAATGTATCATTAATTAATTCAAATACCGATTCATTTTATGTAAAATACATATATAATTATTTCACTATTTACATTTACATTTCATGATCCTGCGTTGCAGTGATTCATGAATTACTTAAAACTGTCAAACTGACCCATCAAAGTCAGTGGGCGGGGCTAACGCGAATCTAGTCTGATCCATTGCTTTGGTCTGAAGGAGAGTAGGCCAACCTGGATAGAGACAATGGAGGATCTCCGTGAACTTTCCAGGGAGTTGGTTAGAGACATTTTAAACTTAGCAGAGGATGTAGAAGCAGGACCTGCTGACCCAGAGCATGTAGCTAGTAAAGCAGAGGAACTTATTGAAGTTGTTGGAGTCATTTCCGCACTTTCTGACGAAGATATCGACCACAGAGTGATTGCAAATCTAGAAGAAGTTGTCCACCGCTTCTCTGGTACCAGGGCACTTCAGGCCCAACACACACAGGGACCGGGGCGTTTGGCGTTTGACATACCGAGTGCAGTTCTGGAGCACCAACTTCTTTGTGGAGTTCCCGCAGTTCAAATTGCAGCGATGTTCGGTGTGTCAAAGAGGACCATCAGGAGGCGCATGCAACAATACAGTTTAAGGTATTTACACTAAATTCATGAGTTTTCTGTTTATGAATTGCTGCTCTCATACACTCGGAAAGAATATGACGTTTAAGGTAACATTACTTGATGTTGTGTTTTTCTTGTTTGTACAGAAAGACCGATCTCTATTCAGCTGTGAATGATGAGGAGTTAGACCGTATTGTAAGTGAAATTCACAGAAGTCATCCAAACACCGGCTACAAGCTAATGCGTGGTCACCTGAATGCAAGAGGTGTGCATGTTCCAAGTGAGTAGATAATAATATGGGCATTATTTAAATGTATTTTTAATTTGGAGCTCTGCCCCTTTGAAAGGTGAAGGAAGCCCGCTTATGGAAAGACATCGCCTCTGAGATGTAGAATGTGTAGAAGAAATGTGAAGAGAAACACACATTTCAGGACGGCTGACTTGTATCATCAGGATAGACATGTCCTGTGATTTTTAGCCTCCTGTTTAATAGAGGTGGAACAATATCTGACAGTAATATTCTCAGCTGTCCGGATGTGCCCCTGCTGTAAAGGGTATAATATAATCATAGAAAAGCAAAATATCATAGGAGGCAAAAAATCTCAGGTCATCTCTGTTCGAGCATGTGGTATCTATCTATCTATCTATCTATCTATCTATCTATCTATCTATCTATCTATCTATATATCTATCTATCTATCTATCTATCTATCTATCTATCTATCTATGTGTGTATATATATGTATATGTATATGTGTATATATATGTATATATATGTGTGTATGTATATATATATATAAATATATATATATATAAATATATGTATGTATGTATATATATGTATGTATATGTATGTATATATATATAAATATATGTATGTATGTATGTATGTATATGTATGTGTGTATATATATATATATATATGTATATGTATATATAATTTTTATATATGTGTATATATATGTGTATGTATGTATGTATGTATATGTACAATATCTGACAGTAAAGTACATTTTTGAAGCTGTGGTGGTTCTGTAATAGTTGACTGTTTTACACACATTATTTATTTTATTATGACACCACTATATCCTCAAAATAAGTAGCCAGTGAGTGTGTGGTTATTCATTTTAAATTCCTCCCCTCAGTCTCAAGACTGCAAGAGTCTTTACGCAGAGTCAATGCAGAGGGAGTCTACATGAGACGTCTGAGGCTGCGTGTATTAAGGCGACGGCAGTATTTTGTTCCTGGCCCAAACTCTTTGTGGCATATAGATGGCCACCATAAGCTTATCAGGTCAGTGATATTAGCAGATAAACAATGCATCTTTCTATATGTTTCATTACAATTGTTATACAATAAAGTTATATTTTTTCATGTGTTTGCAACAGGTGGAGATTTGTTGTCCACGGTGGGGTGGATGGATTCAGTCGTTTAGTGGTCTACCTGACTGTGGCCGGCAATAATAGAGCTCATACGGTCTTACAGAGCTTTATCGCCGCTGTTGAGCAGTATGGGCTGCCATCAAGGGTACGGTCTGACAAAGGGGGGGAGAATGCAGATGTAGCAGAATTCATGATCAGAAGCAGAGGTACCGACAGGAATTCACACATCACAGGCAGAAGTGTCCACAATCAGCGGTAAAGAAATATGTTTGGCAACTAGGCTCACACAACTAACATACTAGTTGAATGTACTTTAGCATATGTCATAAATTAACAATTTCTCAATTTTATCCTAAACACAGAATAGAGAGGATGTGGAGAGATGTTTATGAACATGCCCTGGACCTCTTCTATCAGATCTTTACTTCATTGGAAGATCAGGAGACACTGAATCCAGACAATGAAGTCCATCTTTTCGCTCTGCACCGGATTTTCCTTCCACTGGTTCAGCAAAGCCTCGACTCTTTTCGAGATGCTTGGAACTTCCACGGTCTTAGAACTGAAAGGAATCAGTCACCACAGCAACTCTGGAGAAGTTACAGAGAGCAAGGCCCTGAGGAGGATCCTACTGAGGTTAACAATGAACTTTAAACACTTTCTTAAAATTGTTTCCCCAAAGGAATTATGGGAGAAAAAAATGGTGCTAAATGTGATACTTTAAATGAAACATTTACTATAGATTATTGTCTCTTTAAAATCTCCCGAGCTTTTAAAGATCAACCTGTGAGCTGTAGTTTCTACAGTGCATACTATGCAAAGCTGTATTATTTAAAAAAACTGAATAAGTAACATTTAATTTCTCACTGCCTTGGTGACCAAAAATAACAATCTTGTGTAAGGACATGTCAAACTAGTTTTAAGTACAAGACTGATTATGCTTGTCATCCATTCAGGTTCCTGAAGAATATGGGATCGATTGGAACGGACCTCACTGCCTTCATCGAGGCACTGTGTCAGTCCCCGAGGTTCAGCTGGCCCGTGAGCTCTCAGATGAAGAGGTTGCAATTTTGCCAGCTCCAGGAGTTTCTGTTACTGATGCACTTAGACTATATGTAGAGACTGTGGAAGTGTTATCAAGAATCTTAGACTGATGTCCAACCCATGTTTTTATTTGTTGTGTTAGAACAAGCAAGGAAAAACTGAAAGTTTACTTTCCTTTTAAAAGAAAGGAAAAAAAGCTGTTTCTTTGAAGCTTCCTGTCTCATTATGGTCCACAGAATGACTAACATGAATGCTGTACTGTTAGCACTGAAGGTGCAGAACAGTTTGATTTTAGTAAATGGAAGAAAAAAAAGTAAACTACTGCACAGTGTGTTAATGTTTTCAAAGACACTGAACTTGTGTCAATTCATCTGAACTGTGTATGCATTGACATTAGGGCTGGGCAATATGGAGAAAATCAAATATCACATTTTTGACCTAACACCTTGATGTCGATATTGCAACGATATTGTAAGGTTGACAATTGGTGCATTCACAAAATATCTTCCACATTTAGATTTCGGATAAATAACTATCATATTGTGGATATAATGACTAAGTGGTAAAAGGCAAATAATAGAACAGCTAGAACAGTCTGGTAAGTTCAGAAAATGACATCACTTTACTGTAATGCAGCCTTTGAAACCAGGAAAAGACTAAACTTACCATGTAACGATATTACACTTCTTCAAAATCTAATGGTGCTTTTCCATTACATGGTACCTACTCGCCTCGCCTTGCCTTTTTTGGTTTTCCATTACGAAAAAAAGTACCTGGTACCTATGGAGGACTAAAAGTGCCACAATTAAATAAATAAATACACCATTAAATAATTACTTAAATGTGTCATTAATTAATTAAAATTTGAATTAAATACATAAATGTGTTATTAAATGTGTCATTAATTAATTCAAACTGCACCTCACACAGCGTCTCAACATTGGGGCTAGCAGGACCGAGTCTTCTCTTGATTTTTAGCCGTTGCAATGAAAGTTCTGTTTAACCGTGTAACTAAACCAATGTAGAGGTGAATAGCGCCACCCAGTGTATTGGAATGTGTTCAGTAGCTCTGCATCAATCCATTATCCGGAATTGATTTGTCTTGGCTTGATGCAGAGGGTAACCAATCAGGCGTTAGGTTCCGCCTACCAACTTTTGATGGGTCAGTTTGACAGTTTTAAGTAATTCATGAATCACTGCAACGCAGGACCATGAAATGTAAATGTAAATAGTGAAATTATTATATATGTATTTTACATAAAATGAATCGGTATTTGAATTAATTAATGACACATTTAATAACACATTTATGTATTTAATTCAAATTTGAATTAATTAATGACACATTTAAGTAATTATTTAATGGTGTATTTATTTATTTAATTGTGGCACTTTTAGTCCTCCATAGATAGTAGCTTGGTAAAGCATTTAGTGTTGTGTGCATTGTGCTGCACTTGCCACCCCATTAGTTTCATGTGAAGTATGACTTGCAAGCTAACTAATGAACTAGTGCACATTTATCAAACCTAACAGAAAAATAATTCTTCAAACACTTAACTCCTTAGCTAGATGTAAAGACTTGCTCTAAAAAAAAAAGTATTATGCAGCTTTATTGTTTTAGTAAGAACAATTCTACGGAGCCCATTCAGTGAGAGAAAAAAAAAACAGGCCAGGCTAATCCATTCCCTCTGTTTTTTTTCATCTGTTCCCTCTGTTTAAAAAAATTAATAATTCCCTCAATATAAAAATGTGTTCCCTCAATTTATTCATTAGTTCCCTCGGATCTTCCTTGCAGATTCAAGTGCATGTCCTTATCATGGATTGATCAGAGTTAAATGAATTCTACTTCAATCTGGGCTTGAAATACAAAGATTTTCTTTGTTGTTTGAATATATTACTGAGAGAAACTTATTTCCAGTTTCAATGTTTTCATATGCTTCTGAATCATAAGGGCAAATAATGGGTTGCGTGTGTGCAAAACCACTCAATTAGGTGCAATGATGCGCTCTCATCCCTGCGCTTGGCAAGTATTCCGTCTGGCTCTGCTTCATTACCTTAGCTGTTCTACAGTATATCTATACTCCAGGGGAGTTCATTAGCTACCTATCCTTCTGATGATGGGGTGGATTACACTGGGAAAGGTGCACTCTTTTTTTTTTTCCTTTTTGTTGTCACTCCTGTCGGCTCTCTCATGTGGAGGTTTTTGCTCTCTGATAGGCTCAAAGTCAATTTATCGGCCACTGACGAGCATTGCGATTCTACAAGTAGAAACTGCAGGTTCGTCGGTACCAGGTTGGTACCCAGCACAGTACGTATTTTGTTCTAGCAAGAGATGGAACGGCCTCCTACTGTGCTAAGTACCTATCAGCAGTAAGATTTCTCAGTGTTGCTGACCTCTTAGATCCCTCACAATGTGTTCTCCAATCTCATAAAACATGCTCAGCGCCATTATCCTCGCAAGGTGAGGTATTGAAAACTCGGGTGTCAATATTATTACTTTTTATTGTTTAAATCTCTTTCTCTGAAGCAGTGATATTAGTATAAAATAATGCAATTTCCCAATTTGTTTGGGCATACAATATAGCTCAGTATTTGTGTAATTGATTTTATCATATTTTTTGCTCATCTTTATCAAGGGTGCCAATAATGATGGACCTGGCTATATATGTAATATATATTGTAATAATATATATAATATATGCCATTTTGCTTCTCTCCGCTCCAGGCAGTAAGGTGATCTCGAGAGAGCTGAGTGTAGAGGGTCTGTCTGAAGTACAGTCTGTCCTACAGCGCCCCCCACTGGTGTGGGACAACCTGCACGCAAATGACTACGACTCCAGGTAAGATAAGATCAAATGCGATAAGAAGATAATATAAGATCTTATATTTTGTCTGTATATTTTGTTTATTGTAAGGTGTTGTCAGCACCATTTCACCGTGTCAAATTCCTGGTACATGCAAATGTGCTTGGAGAATAAGGTTGATTCTTATTGTGATTATGATTCCAGACGTCTCTTCCTGGGTCCCTTCAAGGGTCGCTACCCCCAGCTTGCCACCCACCTCCGGGGCCTGCTGCTCAACCCCAACTGCGAGTTCGAGGCCAACTACATACCCCTGCACACGCTGGGGACCTGGTACCGCACTGGGAGGGAGGAGAAGAAGGGTGAGAAAAGGGGTGAGAGGGAGGGGGGAGAGGGATGGATAGTGGAGGGAGGGAGGGAGGGAGGGGGGAGAGAGAAGGGAGAGGGATGGATAGTGGGTGAGGGAGGGAGGAGGCAGGGAGGAAGGATAGAGGGGAGAGAGGAGGAAGGTTTATGTCAACTAAATATATTTGGACAGATAAGCGACAGTGTTAGAGAAAAAGAGGTAGAGATACAGAGAGAGAGTAGATGAGAAGAAAAGAAAAGAGAGATGATTGGATGAGAGGAGAAAGTAGGGAAGAGTAGAGCAAGTTACCTCCCAAATGGCACCCTATTCCCTACATAGTTCACTAGAGCCCTATGGGCCATGGCAAAAAGTAGTGCACTATGTAGGGAATAGGGTGCAATTTGGGACTTAATGTGATAATGTAATGTTCCTGGTGTTATCCAACCACTAATGATCATGTTATTACCGGGTCTACTGACACACACACACAGACTGGGTCCACTGACACTATCAGAGCAGCAGACCCTTAGACTGGTGTTATCCACGGTGTCAACATCATAGAGTGATTAGGGAGAGAGAGTGTGAGGAGAAGGAAGAGGGAAGGAAAGAGGGAGACATTCAAGAGAGGAAAGAGAAAAAGTAAGCGCAAAAGCATAAGCTCAAAAAGAAAGACAAGTGAGGGGAGAAGAAAAGAAGACACAAAGTGAGTGATGTCAGAAAGGAAGGATGGAAGAGCGATGGGCAGTGAAGGAGAAAGAGAACGGATAAAGAGAGAATTGAGGGAGTGAGAGAGATAAAGAGAGGACTGGAGCGTGTGAGTGGACTGAGAATCAGAACACTCAGTGCCTCCACACTCCCAGGGGTAATCACTATCACCACGGTTACATGGAGGGTAACCACAATCGCCACGGTTACATGGAGGGTAATGTAAGCACTATCGCCACAGTTACATGGAGGGTAACCGCTATCACCAGGGTTACGATAGGATGTTAGGGGTCAGGCCAGTGTGATACATGATCTGACTGGCTCATTATATTTGAATATGACATCATGATGTACACTTTTTTTGGGGGGGGGGGGGGGGGGGTAGATCAGATAAATGTAAATGTCTATTGTAGAGGGAAACGGCTCATTTTTAATGGAATATCTACATAGGCGTACAGAGGCCCATTATCAGCAACCATCAGTCCTGTGTTCCAATGGCACGTTGTGTTTGCTTATCCAAGTTTATCATTTTAAAAGGCTAATTGATCATTAGAAAACCATTTTGCAATTATGTTAGCACAGCTGAAAACACCAGTCTGGTGTTTTGCGGGTACTATTTAATGAAGCTGCCAGTTGAGGACCTGGGAAGCGTCTGTTCTCAAACTAGACACTAATGTATTTGTCCTCTTGCTCAGTTGTGCACCGGGGCCTCCCACTCCTCTTTCTATTCTGGTTAGAGCCAGTTTGCGCTGTTCTGTGAAGGGAGTAGTACACAGCGTTGTACGAGATCTTCAGTTTCTTGGTAATTTCTCGCATGGAATAGCCTTCATTTCTCAGAACAAGAATACTCAGATACTCAACTAGTCTCAAGAAGGCCAGTTTTATTGCTTCTTTAATCAGCATAACATTTTTCAGCAAAAGGGTTTTCTAATGATCAATTAGCCTTTTAAAATGATAAACTTGGATTAGCAAACACAACGTGCCATTGGAACACAGGACTGATGGTTGCTGCTAATGGGCCTCTGTACGTCTATGTAGATATTCCATAAAAAATGAGCCGTTTCCTGCTACAATAGCCATTTACAACATTAACAATGTCTACACTGTATTTCTGATCAATTTGATGTTATTTTAATGGACAAATAAATTGCTTTTCTTTCGAGAACAAGGACATTTCTAAGTGACCCCAAACTTTTGAACGGTAGTGTACATTTTATGGACATAGTCAATTTTACAATAATTATATTTTGTTTGTTTTTACTCCTGAACTTCCTCTACCCTCATGTACACATTTAACTCAAGGTCTGACTGAACTACTTTTGCGTCACATAAACTTTAACAAACCATGTGTGCGTGTGTTTGTTGTTGAGTGTGTTTTGTGTGTGTGAGTGAGTGAATGTGTATTTCTCACCATGGTGTGTGTGTGTGTGTGTGTGTGTGTGTGCAAGTTCCTAACAATGGTGTGTGTGTGTAAGTGAATGTGTATTCTTCACAATGGTTTGTGTGTTCCTAACCATGGTGTGTGTACATGTATTATGTTGTGTGCAGAGGAGTACCAGTACTGTCCAGAGATGGCGCTGTCTACTGCACTACACGACTGGATGGACGAGCTCAGCCAACCACTGCAGCCAGGTAGTGTGTGTGTGAGTGTGTGTGTCAGGTACTCAAAAGAAACAGAAGCTTGATCTCAACTGTTCATCCAGATGTTGATGTGGATTCAGATCTGTATCCATTCTATATCTATCATTTTAATCATTCTAATTCAATAATCTCATTCTAATTCTAGAATTCTTCTCATTCTAATTCAAGAATTCTTCTCATTCAAATTCTAGAATTCTTCTCATTCAAATTCTAGAATTCTACTCATTTTGGTTCTATATTTTGGTTCTATTTCTCCACAGGTCGCCAGAGCAGACAGGCAGACCAGAGGTCTTCGGGTCAAAAGTCGGGGACCCTAGAGAGTGCAAACTGTCATCCCACCACCACCACCAGAGAAGGTCGCCCCAAACCCCCTAGAGAACCCCCGCAGGGGGACAGCCCTCCCACCTCCAGCCCTGAGGGAGAGGAAGGGGAGGAAGGGGTGAGGAGGGGGGAGGAAGGGGGGAGGAGAGAGGGAGGAGATGGAGAGGAGAGAGAGAAGAAGCTCCACAACAACCAGTTCCGACAAGGGCCAGGCCAGCCAGGGGGTCCAGGGGGAGTCCCCAGGGAGGCCCAGGGCAGGGTGCTGTGTGGTGGGAAGGCTCCTTTAAGCGAGTCCCAGATCCGGCTGCTGGTAGGTCTCCACTACCTTCCCCATGAGCACGGCCCGTCAGCCCAGAGACTGTTACAGGACCTCACCTGGCTCAAAGCACACTGCCACCTGGTCAGCGCTAACGACAAGAAGGGACCGCAGCAGAAGGTCTGTGTGTGTGTGTGTGTGTGTGTGTTTGTGTGTGCCTATGTACTGTATATGTGACTGTATCTCAACTCTATGTATGTGTGTGTCAAAAAATGTAATTGTATTTGTCACATGCATCGGAAACAACATGCATCGTAGACTAACAGTGAAATGCTTACTGACGGGGCCTTCCCAACAATGCAGAGAGAAAAATAGAAAATAATAGAAAGATAATAACACTTGGAATAAATACACAATGAGTAACGATAACATAGCTATAAACACGGTATACCAGTACCGCGTTGATATGCAAGGGTACGAGGTAATTACGAGGTAATGTGTTTGTGTGTGTGTGTGAACATGTGTGTGCGCCCGCGTGTGTGCGCCTTCATGCTTGTGTGTGTGTGTGTGTGTGTGTGTGTGTTGCAGGCGGAGGAGTGGCGTGGCCGAGCGGCCGGGTTCCTAGGTGTGTGTGAGGAGATTGCTGTGCTGCACAGTAGTGTGGTGAGTGGAGTGAGCAGGGCCGTGCTGTATGACCTTTACCCTTACGTATGGGACCTCAGAAACACCGCACTGGTGGCCAAGGCCTTCATCTGCTGGCTCGGTGAGTAGAGAGAGTGGGGGAGGAGGGAGGGAGGGAAAAGGAGAGCAAGAGAGAGGGGCTGAGGAGAGAAGAAACATTTCAACTTGGATAAAGCATACACTGTGTAAGATATATTCCACTCTCTTTCTCTCCCCCTCTCCCTTTATCTGTCCTCCCCCCTCTCTCTTTCTGTCTAAGATGGGCGTGTGTTGAGTGACAGCTCTCCGTTGGGTTCCTGGAGGAACTGCTTCCACTGTGAGTAGAGACGACCCCTGACCCCTCAACCCTGATCCCTCAACCCCAACCCCTGACCCCTCCACTGTCTCTGACCCCTGATCCTTCAACCCTGACCCCTCATTGGGTCGTTATGGAATTGAGCATGGTCTTCCTTAAATGCTGTGTGATTGACAGGTGGGTTCTCGTCTCTGATAGGGTGCGGGACGACCACGGGGGCGGAGTTACTGGGGGTGGAGTCAGAACCATGGGTGTTCAAAGGGGGAGTGTCCGGAGAGGTGCAGGTAGGACAGTGTGTGTGTTTGTGCGTGTGTGTGTGTGTGTGTGTGTCTGTGTGTATTATGTCGTTTAATGTAAGCGCATGTATAAGAAAACGTATTCATTTATAATACATTTTCCATTTATTGTGTATTTTCCATGCTTACTTTCACCAGCTTGTTTGAAATGTTCTCTCTGTCCTACAGATGCTTCTCCCTATAGGCAGTAACAGTGAACTGTTCAGCCACCCTCCTCCTCTCTTCCCCACCTCACGACTGTACAACATACGACCCTACCACAACAAGGACAAGGTGAAAGGACATTTTCACACACACACACACACACACACGTTGTTCTGTCAGCTGACTGACTGTATTGTATGGTGACTTTCTGTGTGTATACATTATAGATGTTATATATTATTGTATTGTATTATACCTCCTGTCCCCTAGGTGGAGCTGTATCGTATGGTGCGCCAGCTTCAACAGGGAACCCAGGGGAGCCCTGATTCCAGCCCAGCACATCCTGACCTCATTGGAGACAGGTGTGTGTGTGTGTGTGTCTGTTCCTATGCTCTGTAAACTGTATAGGCCTACAAAGGACTTTTCACACTGAGTCGAACAAAGCTGTACTGAGCTGGCTTTGTTACGCATGGTTCAGGTTGGCAGCATAGTGTGAAAAGGGTATGTGTCTCTGAGCATGCGAGCTTGAGGACAAATGATCAACAGTATGTGTGTTTGTGTGCCTGTGTATTTATATGTGTGTGTGTGTGTGTGTTTGTCCCTGCAGGTGTCTGGGGCCCTGCCTTGCTCTGTGTCCTGAGTACAGCATGGTGCTGGAGGATGAGCTGGGTGTGTGTGGGTGTGTGTTGGGCATCGTAGATGTTCGTTCCTTCGCCAAGCGCTGCCAGGCCTGCTGGATGCCCGCCATGAGAGATAAATACCCACCTCGCACCGGACACGCCAACTCACAGGTTAGAACAAACAAACACACACACACATGCAGGTAAGAACACATACGTACACACACACACTCATTCTCTCCCCCATCCCTCACTCTCTCCATCCTGCTCTCCACCCCTCTCCCCATTCCTCTCCCCATCCCTCTTTCCTATGTATTATCTAACTCCAGTTCCCCTCCTGTCCTGTAGGAGGTGTTGCAGCAGATAGAGGGGGACCAGGGGGAATACCCAGACTCTCTTCTCTACCACTTTCCCTCCCAGCTCCGTCTGGACGCTTTGCCTGACCTGGTGGATGTCAGTGTGACCCGCTGCCTGCTAACCTCACTACTCACTGCACTTAAAGCCAATGGTGAGTGTGTGTGGATGGGGTGAGTGAGTGGGGTGTGTGTGTGTGTGTGTGTGTGTGTGTAAGTGGACGTCAGTGTGAACCGCTGCCTGCTGACAGCTCTATTCACTTCACTCAAAGCCAACGGTGTGTGTGCGTGGTGCGTGCAGACTTTGCCTTTTGAGGACAACTGTCTGTCCTCGATGGTTTAGGCCCAGGTATAAAAAGTTACAAGGATTGATCAAATGATTTATTGGTTATACACTCCCCTACGTATTTATTTGGACAGTGAAGCTAAAACTTTTAATTTGGCTCTATACTCCAGCATTTTGGATTTGAGATCATTTCATATTAGCACCTTTTTATATTTTAGAAATGAAAGCACTTTATGTATCTAGTCCCTCCATTTGAAGGTGTCATCAGTTCAAATTCACTTATGTAAGGGATAAACGCCAACGTTCTGTACATTACCTTGGAAATAATGGACGACACAGCGGCACGAGGCGAAGCCGAGTCCCTTTGCGGAGTACATTTTTCCAAGGTAATGTGCATTAGGGAGGTGTTTGTCCCGCTTATACCACAGTTGACAAAGAAAACAACACTAAAGCACACATTTACGGGTAGAAATAAACATTTTGTGTTGATATTTTCATTTTAATAAGAGAATTGATACTTTCTCATCTTTTGGTTGCTAGAGAAGCGACCCAGTCGTTGATATTTATGGTTTTTCATTCTATATGTTACGTTCTTGACCCTTGCTTCCTAGCTAGCCAACTAGCTACGGCTAACACAGTCACCTCTGCAGCCAGAATTACAGCGAAGTAGCTGCATTTGAGTTTGTTTAAGCGGTTTTCTGTTGACATTCATTTGGATACATCCATAACAATGAGCTGATGCTCGATTTTGCCTGGCTTAGCTAGAAAAGTTTGCCTTCTCGTCAGGACACTCGACACTGTTCATTACGAGGAGATCGCATTGCATATCAAACACTAGGCTAGAAGCTAGCTAAATAGTTTGTTGCTAGCAAACCTGCCAATATGACTGCCAAATAAAAAAATACCAGTTGCTGAAAACAGCTGGTCAAACTACAAACTAGAAACATTTGACAGCAAAGCCCCACTTGCGTCATGACTGCAACAGTAGGGACCAGAGAAATTCATGTTCATCACTCACCATCTTAGGTCATCAGACGCTCAAAAACAAATCAATGCTAGCTAGCTACGTTTTTCCTCATTGTAACTTTGTAGCAAGTACAGTCTGCATGAGTAGGCGCATATTGGATCATGATTGCAAGGTGTCCCGATATCTTTTCCAACTGTCCCGTTATCTGGTTTTAATGTCCATTCTAGAATGCCCTTCTAGCCAATCAGAAACAAGTATTCAACAATGCTGTGGTATAAATGTGTATTAAAGTAGTCAAAAGTGTTGTATTTGGTCCCATATTCCTAGCACTCAATGACTACATCAAGCTTCCCACTGGGCACAGACGTAAATTCAACGTCTAGTTTTGATTTACATTTGTTTGAGTTGTCAACTAATGTGAATTCAACTTGAAATCAACAAAACATTTCACTATTTCATTGGATATGGTTTAAAAGTTGGGTGAAAAAAAGATCAAATGCCCTTACGTTGATGACATTTTGCAAATCCAATTAGTTTTCCACGTTGATTCAACTTCATCACATAGATAAATAGTATACCCCCCAAAAATGCTAACCTCCCCTGTGATTGATAATGGTGAGAGGTTAGCATGTCTTGGGAGTGTGATCTTTCTGCTTCTGTAACTTTCTCACTCGTCATTATACACGATTCATTCATGATTATACGTAATCATGGTAGCATCCACATTAATGTAGAAGTGTTCAGAAACATATTCTATTCTTATTTACAATAAAAGGGCACAACATAATCTGAAACACAACCAAAACAAACTGAAAATGCATCCAACAAGATGTAGAGTCACAAGCTTGATGTACTCATTGCATGCTAGGAATATGGGACCAAATACTAAACTTTTGACTACTTTAATACAGATATAAGTGAATTTGTCCAAATACTCATGACACTTTCAAATGGAGGGAATAGATACATAAAGTGCTTTCATTTCTAAACGGTGAAACAGATATGTATACTACCGTTCAAAAGTTTGGGGTCACTTGAAATGTCCTTGTTTTCCATAAAAACATACATGAAATGAGTTTGAATAGGAAATATAGCAAAATGAATAGGAAATGCAGTCATTGACAAGGTTAGAAATAATGATTTTTAATTGAAATAATAATTGTGTCCTTCAAACTTTGCTTTCGTCAAAGAATCCTCCATTTGCAGCAATTACAGCCTTGCAGAACTTTGGCATTCTAGTTGTCAATTTGTTGAGGTAATCTGAAGAGATCTATTTGTAAGTCGCTCTGGATAAGAGCGTCTGCTAAATGACGTAAATGTAATTTCACCCCATGCTTCCTGAAGCACCTCCCACAAGTTGGATTGGCTTGATGGGCACTTCTTACATACCATACGGTCAAGCTGCTCCCACAACAGCTCAATAAGGTTGAGATCCGGTGACTCTGCTGGCCACTCCATTATAGACAGAATACCAGCTGACTGCTTCTTCACTAAATAGTTATTGCATAGGTTGGAGCTGTGCTTTGGGTCATTGTCCTGTTGCATCCCGGAGTCGCCTCTTCACTGTTGACGTTGAGACTGGTGTTTTGCGGGTACTATTTAATGAAGCTGCCAGTTGAAGACCTGTGAGGCGTCTATTTCTCAAACTAGACACTCTAATGTATTTGTCCTCTTGCTCAGTTGTGCACCGGGGCCTCCCACTCCTCTTTCTATTCTGGTTAGAGACAGTTTGCGCTGTTCTGTGAAGGGAGTAGTACACAGCGTTTCTTGGTAATTTCTCGCATGGAATAGCCTTCATTTCTCAGAACAAGAATAGACTGATGAGTTTCAGAAGAAAGTTATTTGTTTCTGGCCATTTTGAGCCTGTAATCGAACCCACAATTGCTGATGCTCCAGATACTCAACTAGTCTCAAGAAGGCCAGTTTTATTGCTTCTTTAATCAGCACAACAGTTTTCAGCTGTGCTAACATAATTGCAAAAGGGTTTTCTAATGATGAATTATCATTTTAAAATGATAAACTTGGATTAGCAAACACAACGTGCCATTGGAACACAGGACTGATGGTTGCTGATAATGGGCCTCTGTATGCCTATGTAGATATTCCATAAAAAATTAGCAGTTTCCCTCTACAATAGCCATTTACAACATTAACAATGTCTACAGTGTATTTCTGATCAATTCAATGTTATTTTAATGGACAAAAAAATTGCTTTTCTTTCGATAACAAGGACATTTCTAAGTGACCCCAAACTTTTGAACGGTAGTGCATGTGTAACCCCCTGTAAAGACTGGGTTTAGTTTATTGTGTGGCAATGCTCATGTCTGCATTCTGGAACTGTTCGCATCATGTATGGTGTGGTGCCAAGGATATTGGCGGGGTACGATCAGATTGGGCTGAGGTGATCTTGGGGAACAACAATAGAGTTCACTAAGAGTGTTGAGACACTGAAGTTTGTTGTTCAATCAGATTTTTGTTTATTAGTTAGGGACAGTATGAGTGTAGCCAGCTCCTTTTCACTCACTATTCTCTTAATTTTGTGGTTCACCGGATTTGTCATCATCCTCGAGGGACAGACGAACGAACTGCTGGCTAGCCAGTTGCTGAACGGAGCAAAGGACAGTGAGATCCTTGATGAAAACCTGCTCCAGAGCGCTCAGGACCTCAGACTGGGGCTAAGGTTCACCTTGCAACAGGACAATGACCCTAAGCACACAGCCAAGACAATGCAGGAGGGCTTCGGGACAAGTCTATGAATGTCCTTGAGTGGCCCAGCCAGAGCCCGGACTTGAACCTAATCAAACATCTCTGGAGAGACCTGAAAATAGCTGTTGATTTTGAGATGTGTCTTTGACTTGAACTCTGTTTGATTAGTTAAATTTCTGAGGCTGGTTACTCTAATGAACTTATCCTCTGCAGCAGAGGTAACTCTGGGTCTTCCATTCCTGTGGAGGTCCTCATGAGAGCCAATTTCATCATAGCGCTTGATGGTTTTTGTGACTGCACTTGAAGAAACTTTAAAAGTTCTTGAAATGTTCTGTATTGACTGACCTTCATGTCTTAAAGTAATGATGGAATGTCGTTTCTCTTTGCTTATTTGAGCTGTTCTTGCCATAATATGGACTTGCTCTTTTACCAAATAGGGCTATATTCTGTATCAAGGCAAAGGGTGGCTATTTGAAGAATCTTAAATATAAAATATATTAAGATTTGTTTAACACTTTTTTTTATTACTACATGATTCCATATGTGTTATTTCATAGTTTTGATGTCTGAACTATTATTCTACAATGTAAAAAATAAAGAAAAACCCTTCAATGAGTAGGTGTGTCCAAACCTTTGACTGGTACTGTACAGTCGTGGTCAAAAGTTGAGAATGACACAAGTATTGTGAGTGAGCCCACTCCCTTGTCTGAGAAGCAACCCCACACATGAATGGTCTCAGGATGCTTTACTGTTGGCATGACACAGGACTGTCCCTGATGTTTTTCCTGGAGAGAAGTGGCTTCCTCACTGCCCTTCTTGACACCAGGCCGTCCTCCAAAAGTCTTCGCCTCACTGTGCGTGCAGATGCACTCACACCTGCCTGCTGCCATTCCTGAGCAAGCTCTGCACTGGTGGTGCCCCGATCCTGCAGCTGAATCAACTTTAGGAGACGGTCCTGGAGCTTGCTGGACTTTGTGGGCGCCCTGAAGCCTTCTTCACAACAATTGAACCTCTCTCCTTGAAGTTCTTGATGATCCGATAAATGGTTGATTTAGGTGCAATCTTACTAGCAGCAATATCCTTGCCTGTGAAGCCCTTTTTGTGCAAAGCAATGATGATGGTACGTGTTTCCTTGCAGGTAACCATGGTTAACAGAGGAAGAACAATGATTTCAAGCACCACCCTCCTTTTAAAGCTTCCAGTCTGTTATTCTAACTCAATCAGCATGACCGAGTGATCTCCAGCCTTGTCCTCGTCAACACTCTCACCTGTGTTAATGAGAGAATCACTAACAATGTCAGCTGGTCCTTTTTTTGGCAGGGCTGAAATGCAGTGGAAATGTTTTTGGGGGATTAAGTTCATTTTCATGTCAAAGAGGGACTTTTTCATGTCAAAGACTGCTAAATATTTAGTTAAATAGTTAACCAAATAGCTACCCGGACTATCTGCATTGACCCCAGTCCTACCTACCTACCTACAAGTTATGGAAATGTGCTCTTTTAGTATTTCTCCAGTAGGTTTCCTCAAGGAGAAAGCCTCCACTTCTATGTCAAAGATAATAAAACAAACACTAGCGGTTAGAGCGTTGGGCCAGTAACCGAAAGGTTGCTAGTTTGAATCCCAGAGCAGACTAGGTGAAAAATCTGTCGACCTGCCCTTGAGCAAGGCACTTAACCCTAAATGCTCCAGGGTCAGCGTCAATAATGGCTGATTCCTGGCCTTGACCCCACTCTCCGAGACACCGCACACTTGTACAGGTTACACACTGTGTGAAACAGGACAAATATAAGCACCCTGGTTAAAAGTAGTGCACTATGTAGGGAATAGGGTGCCATTTGGGAGGCAGCCTTTGTCTTTCTGGTTGTTCTAGTTCAGGGGTGTCATACTCATTCCACGGATGGCGGAGTATGCAGGTTTTTGGTTTTTCCTCCGTGGAATGAGTTTGACTCGTGTTCTAGTTTATCTTCTCTGCTCGCTCTCATATTTCTATCAACAATCATCTAATTCACTCTCTTTGTCTCTCTGTGTGTGTGTGTGTGCACGTGTGGTGTGTGTGTGTGTTGCAGGTTCTCAGGGTGTGTTCTGTGAGGTGCAGCCTACAGATCGTATGAGGCTGGACTTCCTGACTAAACTAGGCTTCCTGGAGATCATCAGAGGAGAGGCACGACACAGAGAGGGAGTGGTACTGGGCAGGCTGCTCTGAACACACACACATGCGCACACGCTCACACACACATTGAAATGTACACACAAGGGGTGTAATGGTTCACCAAACCCACGGTTCGGTGTATATATTGCAGTTTTGGGGTCACAGTTCGGTTACGGTACAGCGGGAAAATTAAATGCCAACAGTTAGCCTACTGTAGTTACCTTTATTTTTATTTAAGAAAATACAAGGTGTTGGTATTCCTGATTGTGAAAACACACAATTACTCATCAAAACAACATTAAAATAAAGTGCAAAATGCGTGTGAAATCAATGTGTAAACATGGCTCAGACATTGTATAGGCCTAAGCTATAATGTTTTTCTTACAAAGAGAAAAAGATGTGCACTTGTGTGACTCTCATAAAGGGGGCACTTCTCATCTCCCACTCCGAGGTAATGTGATGGGCTGTCACTGTTAAGTAGCTCTGTAGCCCTGGAGATCCATTCATCTCTAGTAAGCACAACACAGGGTGAATTGGCCAATTCATTGACAACTTCGACTTTGGCTTGCTGATATTATATACAGCAGGTTCTACCTGTTTGCTGAAATGGGTGCGAGAGGGAAGTTAGTAACGTGGCGCAAGCACTTTCACAAGGTGCTGATACCCCCTATTCTCAACCACGAGAATGGGTGCATATCCACGCTATAAACGCCTATCGCTCTTGTAATTTCTTTGGCCCGGTCATATCAGCTGTGAAGGGATGCTTGAATGCAGAGGGGAGATGATGTTGTGTTGTTTCCTTGTGTTGCCAGTCTTGCTCCAGTGGTAGGAATACTGGGGTGATTTCGTTGTGAATGTGTCAACATGTTTGAGGTGTTGGCAGCTGCATAGGCTATTCTCTTTGAGCAGTGGCGACATACTGTTAACGTTTTATCCACAACTTTCTGTCCATCGCCGTTGTAATCTACTGGGGAGCCAAAACGTTTCCCAAACTAGAGATAAACGATGATGGCGCTTCCTCCTGGTTGATCGACCCCACCACTCGCCATTGTACACAACTAGTTCCCTGCTGAGCCTCACAAAAGGACAGTTTTGAAATGCACCAATTAAGATCTGAAATGTGATTACAACGTGCGCATAGGCTGTAGTTGTTTTAAGGGAATAGCCTGAAATGTTTTTTCAGTACAGGTTTACTCGAGGCATACATCGCAGCATAGGCATAGCCTATTTATTTATTTTTAATACAAAATAGTGTATTAATTCGGGTTCACAGTGCGAACCGAGGTCCCTGTACCGCCACCGTTACACCCCTAATATTTTATATACACACCCATGCATGCACGCACACACACAGCGCATGCGCAAAAACACACAAATATATTCCTATACACACACATATTAATATGCGCACTAATAAACACTGTGTAGTACAAAAGGAACAATAGAACAACATAACTACTGTAAGCTTAATCACACACAGGTGATACAGGGTTATGGATGACACAGTGCTGTCTGCGCGCACACACACACCCACACACACACACACGAAAACACATGAAAAGACATGAAAAGACAGAAGGCAAACATTCACAAGAACACACATACGAACACACACAAATACGAACACAGATGAACACACGCAAGGCTGAGAGTTATATGGATGATGGAGATGGACACAAAACCAATATGTGCATCAGATGGCTTGCACACACAGACACAGACAGACACACACACACACACACTGATAAATCCCACTCAGCGTAGGACATATACATATAGCATCAAACCCACACTACTGTATATAGCATCATTCACCACGTCTTTTTCTTTCTATCTTCTAGAAGCACAAGAACAACAATACATCCGTCAAACGTTTTATACCTGAGGCAACCTCTGCATGCCTTCACTAGAAACCAAGAATGTTATTTTCTATTGAGGAGACTTGGGCTGGGGATTCAATCCGATCCCGCTTGTAGACAATGCAGCTTTTAAAGGTAATATCCCCGCGTTTGCAGAGATCGCATTCAAGGGATTTGGCACTGACCCTGGAACTGACTCTGTACATAGCTTTCTTACTTTCTTGTGTGTTTTTGTTCTACTTCGACTTTTTTTTTATAGTACTACTGATATTGATTACTGCATTGTGGGAAAAGAGCAATCAAGAAAGGTATTTCACTGTACTTGAACAGTCAGATTTCTTCTCTCGATCTCTTCCTAACCATTTGTCTCCTATCTGTGTGACTACTTTTCTAGAACAGCACCACTTACTATTCATTGTCCTTTGTATCACTGTCTCTGTCCCAAATGACACCCTATTCCCTATTTAGTGCACTATGGTCAAAAGTAGTGCACTATATAGGGAATAGGGTGCCATTGGGACAGCCTTTGTCTTTGTCTCACTATGCTTGCTTCGGCGGCCAATGGTTGTTTTGTAATGAGGTCTGTTGTTAGATGTAGATAGCCGGGATTCAATCCTTTTAAAGGCAATGTTGCAAGAGATCGCATTCACGGTAAACGCTGCAGAGGTTGGCTCAATGGGAAATTGCCTTTAAATGTAAAGTGTGCTACAACGCGGTTTCGGATTGAACCCCGGCCTAACTGTTCATTCAGGGTGCGTGAGGGTTAAACTATCATGTTACTGTGTAGAAAGAAGTTTACATGTTTACAAATTACTGCAGTAATACCAATGTTTTAAAATGTAACATTTTATGAAAATATTTTTTGTGTCGACACTATTAAAATATTTTCCCCTCCTTTCCTTGTGCCTTTTTAGTGTCTGTTTGTCTTCCATCATGTCATGAGGTTATCTCTTTAAGAAATGTTTATTGTATTTTATTTTTTACATCTACAGTTCCTTCACAAAGTATTCATACTCCTTGACTTATTCCACATTTTTGTGTTACAGCCTGATTTCAAAATTGATTAAATATATATATTTTTTTGTCACCCATCTACACACAATACCCCATAATGACAAAGTGAATATATATATATATATATATATATATATATACACACACACATACACTACCGGTCAAAAGTTTTGAACACCTACTCATTCAAGAGTTTTTCTTTATTTTTACTATTTTCTTTATTGTAGAATAATAGTGAAGACATCAAAACTATGAAATAACACATATGGAATCATGTAGTAACCCAAAAAGTGTTAAACAGATTCTTCAAATAGCCACCCTTTGCCTTGATGACAGCTTTGCACACTCTTGGCATTCTCTCAACCAGCTTCACCTGGAATGCTTTTCCAACAGTCTTGAAGGAGTTCTCACATATGCTGAGCACTTGTTGGCTGCTGTTCCTTCACTCTGAGGTCCGACTGGAGGCCAGGTCATCTGATGCAGCACTCCATCACTCTCCTTGGTAAAATAGCCCTTACACAGCCTGGAGTTGTGTTGGGTCATTGTCCTGTTGAAAAACTAATGATAGTCCCACTAAGCCCAAACCAGATGGGATGGCGTATCGCTGCAGAATGCTCTGGTATCCATGCTGGTTAAGTGTAAATAAATCACAGACAGTGTCACCAGCAAAGCACCCCCACACCATAACACCTCCTCCTCCATGCTTTACGGTGGGAACTACACATGCGGAGATCATCCGTTCACCCATACCGCATCTCACAAAGACACGGCGGTTGGAACCAGAAATCTCACATTTGGACTCCAGACCAAAGGACAAATGTCCACTGCTCGTGTTTCTTGGCCCAAGCAGGTCTCTTCTTATTAGTAGTGTCCTTTAGTAGTGGTTTCTTTGCAGCAATTTGACCATGAAGGCCTGATTCACACAGTCCACTCTGAACAGTTGATGTTGAGATGTGTCTGTGACTTGAACTCTGTGAAGCTTTTATTTGGGCTGCAATTTCTGAGGCTGGTAACTCTAATGAACTTATCCTCTGCAGCACGGGTAACTCTGGGTCTTCCATTCCTGTGGCGCTTGATGGTTTTTGCGACTGCACTTGAAGAAACTTTCAAAGTTCTTGACATTTTCCGTATTGACTGACCTTCATGTCTTAAAGTAATGATGGACTGTCATTTCTCTTTGCTTATTTGAGCTGTTCTTGCCATAATATGGACTTTGTCTTTCACCAAATAGGGCTATCTTCTGTATACATTCCCCTACCTTGACATAACACAACTGATTGGCTCAAACGCATTAAGAAGGAAAGAAATTCCACAAATTAACTTTTAAGAAAGCACACCTGTTAATTGAAATGCATTCCAGGTGACTACTTCATGAAGCTGGTTGAGAGAATGCCAAGCGTGTGCAAAGCAGTCATCAAGGCAAAATGTGGCTATTTGAAGAATCTCAAATATAAAATAATGTTGATTTGTTTAACACTTTTTTGGTTACTACATGATTCCGTATGTGTTATTTCATAGTTTTGATGTCTTCACTATTATTCTACAATGTAAATAATAGTAAAAAATAAAGATAAACCCTTGAATGAGTAGGTGTGTCCAAACTTTTGACTGTTAGTGTATATATAAAATATATATTTTTTTTATTATAAACTGGGTGGTTTGAGCCCTGAATGCTGATTGGCTGACAGTCGTTGTATATCAGACCGTATACCACGGATATAACAAAACATATATCTTTACTGCTCTAGTTACATTGGTAACCAGTTTATAATCACAATAAGGCACCTCAGGGGTTTGTGGTATGTGGCCAATATACCACGGCTAAGGGCTGTATCCAGGCACTCCGCGTTGCGTCGTGCTTAAGAACAGCCTTTAGCCGTGGTATATTGGCCATATACCACACCCCCTCGGACGTTATTGCTTAAATATATTTTCCTTCTTTAATATTTTCCCCTAAATCTACCACCCCTCCCCTAATTGGAGTAAACTAATTGACAACAACACATAGGCTTCTACTTGCAACTTATACATATTATATACATTACATGGACACAGTATATTTTACAATAGTTCTCTTTTGTTTGTTTTTAGTCCAAGCTACAGTACATTCGGAAAGTATTCAGTCCCCTTGACTTTTTCCACATTTTATTATGTTACATCTTTATTCAAACATTTATTAAATTGTTTTTTTTCCTCATCAATCTACACACAATGCTCCATAATGACAAAGCGAAAACATGTTTTTAAGACATT